AAAAACTACCCGCCTACTGTCGAGCAAACGTACCCTAATGCTGTGAGGTCAGACAGTTTCCACAAAGTGAAACCAGCTAACCTTTTATCTTTTGTTCACTAGATATTCTCAATTCCAGGGCTGAAGTGACCCAAATGATTCTAGTGAAGTTTCATGGAGTTTAAAAACACAGAGGAGCACTTCTTGTATCACCACATGACAAAGAGCATATTTAATTTGCGAGAACTCAGCCTAAATATGCAGGGTTTGTGTGTTAAAAATGTGTGGATAAAGCCAAAACACAACTCCGGGTATGTTTGTAGTGAGGAAACAACTTTATAACATCAGAAAATAGTGTAATATAGGCTCTTTAAAATCGAGTCCATCTTATAATCCATGTTGTAAGTAGGGCATGTGTTTTAAAATGAACACCAAATATCTGAAAAGCTGCGGATTATCTTGAAATGTGTATATACGTTTTGCCTTCTCAAAATAACACAGAAATCTTTAACGTTTCCTTTCTTGGGCCACAGCTTTTGCTTCTTACGTCATATCTTATTTCTTATCTGGCCTCTGCTTTGTCTAAATGATTTGTTGGTGGCGCTTGCTCTGGAATTGGAGAGGAATAATGCGAAACAAATGAGTGGAGCAGTGACATACCAGCGAGGAGGAAGTGAAAAATGTACATGAGAGCTGAAAAAAGTTTAGTTTTCAGCTTCCTATTGCAGGCAACATTTTGAGAAGTTTTCATCATTCAAAAGATATGATATTTTGTTTTAAATTGTTATGGGTGCAGTGTGGAATTTTTCCGCTATCTGCTTGGCTCTGTGGAGATGTTATTGCTTTTCCTGGACATGACATTAAGCATATCCATCTATTCATTATGTCTGTTTCTTTTGCTTGAAAATACAAAATTACTCCGGTGAATAGTAGTGACTCTCCACAGATCTGAACTGTAACGTAGCGTAGTGCTGTTACCTGCTTGTCTCCGTGGTGATAGATGGGTTTAATGTACACTGCGGAACACTCTAGACAAAGCAATAACATTTCTACAGAGACAAGCAGGTGGACACTACACTACGCAGTGCATCTTTAACTCTCGTGCACCCCTTTAAAATAATCTCACCTGTGGTCCTTTGTGACAAAAATGTACATTAGAAAAGAATACCACAATATTTTTTTTATATCAGTGTCTTCATTTACTTCTGCCCTAATCATAAACACCTAATATTATATCATATTTTGAAAGTTTAACCCCTTAAATGCCATTTTTGACAGCAAAAGTCTCAAATTATGTGAATGAAAAAAAAAAAAAAAGTTAGATTTTTTTTCTATATCTTTCAAGTAATTTTAATTTGTTTGTGTTGGGATTACCTATGGCCTTCAGTGTGGACTCATATGTACAAGTGTCTTTCTATTGATATAATCTTGTAATGTAAGATACATAGTAAAAAGAAAATTATTTAAGAAATTTTAAAAAAAGAAAGTTTTTCAACACCAAACAATAGAAAAATAAACCAAAAAGTAAAAATATAATGGCAAAGTTATGCCAGTATGTTTGATACTTTGGTTTAAAGACTTGAAATGACTTGAAGCTCAAAGCAGACGACTTAGACTTGACTTGAACTTATGCGCCATTGACTCAGGACTCGACTTGGACTTGCCTGTTTTTGACTTGGGACTTGACTCGGACCGGGACTTGATTTGAACTTGAGGTCACAGACATGATCTATCAAAATACCTTCTTCAAGACTGTTTAAGGCTAAGCAATACTGTCCAATAAAAAAGGCATTTTGTTCAATTACTGCCATCTTGAGAGAAAACACAGAAATTAAAAATACCTCACAAAATACACAAACTGGCCAATTGTGGTGCTATTTGGTGCAATAACGCCAAAGTTCTGCAAAAAAGAGAAGTTGAGAAGTACAAAAATGTAGCGAGGGTTGCAGGAGGGTTAATGTCGATGGTCCAAAATGGCACAAACAGTCCAGTGAGACAGTGCTCAGGCCAGATGTATATGTCTCCAGTGCTACATATGTTTTGGGGTAAATTCGATTAGATAAATTAGAGAGAAAAGATTGCAGGGTTGGACATATACAGAGGAGGTAGACTAGTGCAATTACTGAAAGGGATGCTGCTGCTGGAGTCGGACAGGATTTATGGATGTGGAGCGACTATATGGAGAGTTGTTCTGAGAAGGAAATGCAGAAGTTTATAGCTCTTCGGACTGATCACAAATAAGATACAACATGAGTGAAGACCCTTTCTTTCCTGCTTGCACCAGGACTGTCTGGGATAGTCACGAGCAGTTGTTGTTTCGACATGATTCTCATCCAACAATGTCTTTTTGATAAAACTTTCTGTCCCATAATCTCAAGTCAGACTTGAGTCACATTTTTTAGGACTTGAGACCTGACTTGATAAAATAGACTAAGACTTGGGGCTCAACTTGTACGTGAAGGTCAGTGACTCGGGATTTGACTCGAACTTTAGGCCTGTGACTTGAGAAGACTCGATGCCTTTGTTAAAAATACTATATATATATATATATATATATATATATATATATATATATATATATATATATATATATATATATATATATATATATATATATATATATATATATATATATATATGTGGTTGTTTTTAGAAAATACTTTTCTCTTTACTGGAACACGTCCCCCCACTTCTCTATTTGTTACTTTGGATGTAACTGAAGTACTGTGATGTGTGGTATCCTTAATTGTACTACAGTAATATATAGTACAATACAGTAAAAAAGATGGAACTACAAATAATATGATACTTCCATTTCAGTGCAGGATAAAATAACACAGTTTGAAAATCTGAATTATTTCTATTCTGACTGTAATGATTCATACTAAGATCTTGATAACACATTTAAAAAGGAAAAATTTGCATTTCTACAATCATATAAATACTCGTGTATCAATATACCATGAGTACAAAAGTACAATTTACTTTAAAATTCTTGTAAATTGCAAAAATCTAAGCTATATTTGGTACTTTTGTTTAAAGACTTGAAATGACTTGAAGCTTAAAGCAGATGATTTGGACTTGACTTGGACTTATGGGCCAATGACTCGAGACTTGACTTGGACTTGTCTGTCTTTGACTTGGGACTTAACTTGCACTTGAGGACACAGACTTGATCTATCAAACTGCCTTCTACAGACTGTTTAAGGCTAAGTAATATTGTCTAGTTTATTTATGTATTCACAAATGGATGCTTTTGCAATTACGGAGTAAAATATTTTTCCTGGAAGATCTGAAAATCCGAAGCAGGCCTTTTAAATGCTCTGGGATCTCTGAGTTTGCCTCACTGTTGTCAGTCAGCTGAAATGAACTCAAGTCATGCTTAATGGCTATACATATTTAAAATCCACCCAGAGGCTAAGTTCTGTTATTACAAATCAAACCATTATCATCAAGAAGAGACAAGTGAAGATATTTTCTAATCTCGTCTCTCTCTGAGGAAAAGTGCAACCCAGGTTACCACAATTTACCAAAACAAAAATCTTTTCAAACGCACAATTTAGAAGATGTCAGAAAGTTTCCATGTGCCTCCTCGGTTTGTGCAGACCGCCCCTCTCTTTCACACCGGGTCTGCTGCTATGCGCCGCTCGCTCATTCCCATCACATAGCGGAGCGCGGGTTGAACATGACAGACTGGTAATGACTTGAGCACGGGCGCGCACACGTACACACACGCACACGCACGCACACACACGCACCAGCTGCTCCTCTCCTCCCTCCTCATCAAACTTGTCATCAGCTCCGCCAGTTTGTCTCGTCTCACATTAAGAGCTCATGAATAATGTGTGATTACCGCGGACCCTCCTGAACCACCGCGCGGCGCTCCTCAATCTCACGCGCGCGCTCGTTTGGGTACACGCTCCAATTTAAAGACCAATATAGCGCCAACACATTTACATACTCTGACAGTGTTTAGTGCCACTCATCGCCTCTTTGACTTTCAGCAAAACAAAACTGAAAGCTCCCGGGTTTGAGCTACAACCAAACAGCCACAGTGAGGAGCCAAGTTGTTCTTCCAGGTCAGTACAGTCCACATGAGTCACAGTCAAAAAAACAAACCCTTGCTGAGTAATTAGAGCTATTTTGATCACTCATCAACTAGAAAAACTTAATTCCACCCCACAGTGCGACCGACCTTAACTAATGATTCATGTATCTCCTCTGCTCTTAAAACTTGCAGTGGAACCATAAGCAAATGCAGACAATCACGAATCTCTAACAACAATTCCAACTTTAAAGGTGCATCGTGTGGGTTAACTTTTCTGGTTGAGTGAGCGCTATCTGTCTGTCTCCATGGAGATGTTATTGCTTTGCTGGAATGTTCCACAGCATGACATTAAACTCATCCATCCAGACCTATTTATCCGGGACAGTCCCAATTTTGAGCCCTGTGTCCCTCTGTCCCAGCAGATTTATCCAAAACCATTGATTTGTCCCAGTTTTACGCAAGGAATGTCCTAAGTGTCCCTATTTTTGACCAATCTGATCCCTAAGAACAGTAAAGAGAGGCATAAACTGTCATTTGCTTCATTAAAATACAAAAAAAGCTGCGTAAAAATGCCCAAAACACAAACAAAACGTGACTATACTGACTCACATGTTCGTCATCGTTCGCCGAGTGCAACAATTTCCCTTAATTACGCACTCGTTTCACAATTGTATTATTCCCAACCACCCCAAACCGAGGCTGTCCCAGTTTTTTTAATTTTGAAAATCTCTAACTACGAAGCAAGTTATTTGTGGAGACGTGAGCCTGTTCATGCTATGAATGCGTGTTTTTGGAGCTATAACAACACAAAAACAATGCAAGATGGAAGTTTAACGCCATGGATGTTGGACTTCAGTGGCCCTCTCCAGAAAAGTTACACAGTGCACGTTTTAAAAAGCCCACCAAACTCTTGCCCCAGGACAATACTAGTGAATCCAGTATGATGATGATTATTATTAGACATGTGAGTTACCGGTGAGTCTGTGGTGGCGGGCGCGCGCAGAGGTCCCCTGAAGACTCCCTTGACTCTCCGGAAGTGTCCATTGTTCAGGTGCGTGGAGCTGATGACCAGGTAGTAGCACGCGCCGCACGCCATCCCTTTTCCGCCTGCCAACGTGCCCAGTCCCCGAGAGCGTGACGATGTAGTTCAGTATTACTCCCTTGTTTTGTTGAGAAGGAGTCTGGATGGGAGATAAGAGACGGAATAAGTAGGCTAACTGCGTGCTGGTGTAAAAACAGAAAAACACAGTGCAAGTGGGTGCCGTACTAACCGAGCTGTGGCGCTTGGCATGCTGTCATCCACCGGCTTTAGCGAATCATTAAGCGCCTGTGGAGTGCCAGAGAAGGAGAGAGCTTTCCTCGTGCACACTTGTTCTTCATTCACGGAGTGCAAACTATAACGAGCCCAAGGACGTTTTTGGATGGCAGCCTCTCTTCAAGAACTGTCACGTATTTTCTTCTATGCTAATTCAAAACTCCGTGGCCCCTGATTATCTCAAAGCAACAACCAACAAATCCAGGCACAGCAGTCGTGTTGTACTACGCACGGACCGTAGGCAGGCTCAAGTGCGTCTGAATCTTTACGAAGCGACAACACATTTCTCTCTCTCTCTCTCTCTCTCTCTCTCTCTCTCTCTCTCTCTCTCTCTCTCTCTTATGTGCAGTCTGGGTCCGGAGGATTGGCTGCGCGGCTCCAAATTGTTTCCCGTGTCTGTCAAAGTATTCTCGACTTCTCTCTTCTTCTCACTCTCCCTCCTGATGCCGTCCGTGGAGTAAAAGTATCGTGCCTGCTGTTACCAGTCCAATTATCGTAAAAGAAACCACGCTCAGCCGCCTGTTAATGCGCATACACGAAGCCTCTCTTAGTGACGAAGATTTGATTACAGATAAAAAGGTCTTTCGCTCTGTCCAAATGTGCAGGGCGCCGTGTAAGAGAAGCCAGCCTCTCTCTTTCTTTCTCTCTCTGTGTCCGTCCAAATGTGAATGCCGTGTGCCTGTGCGGAGCTGTCCAATGGCGCGGTGCTGAAAGTAAACTGCGAGCACAGCACTCCCAGAAGCGTCATGCATATTCAACCACATCAGAGCCCTAACCTCAGATACTTAACCAGGGAAACAGTGGGATGCCAGCCCTGGGTTTAGTGGGCGTCAGGGCGAGGGTTTTAAAGACACGTTTTACATTTGAATGGGGCTGCACACAGTGAGCAAAGCTACTTTTAGTGGTACTAAAAACTCTCTATTTTCACTTTACGTTTGTTCAGTGGTTCATTATTTTGCCTTCTTTAATTCAATCCCGGTTCACTTTTAAATTTAAACATGATTTTTCCAGATTTTGTTACATTTAAAAGAGCCATAGTACGCCATTTTCTGATTTGTGTTTTCATTTCTTCATCACAGACGTACCCGGAGTTGTGTCTTGTTTTGTCATAATTATCAATTTATAATTCTTAATGCATTTGTTCACCAGACTGTGATGCTTCCCGCGTTGGTGTGGAGTATTCAGGGAAAAATCCAAAAAACAAGCTCTGATAGTGTAATTCTATTTAATACAAAACAGAGTATAAGTCAATTACAGATAGAAAGTCTGGGTAAGCTCTAACCAATATGAGACACTCCTCTATAAGATATTCTCTGGTTTTATAGTATTCTACAGGACATCCCCTTTCACAACCTGATCATTATTGTCCAAGGAATTAAACATTTCCAGATGTTACCATATATATATTATACATCTCAGTTCTTGGAATGTGGACCCCCAATCACCTCAAAACATTGAAATCTTAAAGGGAGCTATGAGGCTCACAGGCCTGAATGGAGAATATCAGACACCACAGTTTTATTCAAATGTTTAACACACAAATCCTGTATCTTTAAGCTTTGTTTTTCTCTCAGACTGAACACTCTCTGCTACACCTTGTGATGTCATGTGGTAATGAAGGAAGTTCTTTGTACTATACTATACTACTCCACACACATTCATTAGATTTATTTGGAGAATTTGTGCAGTGGGATTGCCTAAAAGTTAAAAGGTACTAGCTTGAAAAATACTGCTACATGACATCACAAGCAGAACAGAGCATTTTGAACTTCGGAGATGTAGACAGACTAATCATTTTACTAATGGGCTAATAAAGGATTACACAGTGATAGGTTGGTTTATTCATACCTGTAGCTAAATTAGTTTGTTTAATTGAGAGACAGGTCCCACGTTTCACATTTCCTTCACCCACATTATATCCAGTAATGCGTATAAAAACACAATTACAAAATAAAGTGTTACAGTGCTCATGTGCAGAATGGTTTGTTCCATAAACAATTAGATAAATTCATTCATCACGCTTGGCTAAAAAAAAAAAAAAAAAAAAAAAAAAGAATTGCATAAAAAATTATTAATATATACAAAAAACACAATATTTTTCCAATACAAACATACTAAAATTGATAGATAAATAGATGAAAATTTATTCATAAGTATGATAGGAGTCGGAACGAAGCTCCTTTTAAAACGATTCGTTCTTAAACATGTGTGAATGAAACAAAACACAGCTCCAGGTTTTTGATGAATTAACAACATTAGAACATGATTTAAAGCTCACAAGAGTCAATTTTGCATAATATAGAACCTTTAAAGAAAACATACACATGCTTGTTCTCATGCTTACATTACATTTTGTTCACTGTAAACTACGATTTTGCAATTTTAGTAACAGAACTGCATCCAATCACTTTCCTTTTCATAACATCATAACTGGGAGGATGTGGGCGGAGATAAGGGGTTGGTGAAAACTGAATGACTCAAACATGCATTAATCAATACAAACAGAATTCTTGAATAAGTTAATTAGAAGAAAAGCTCATACAAGTTGATTTTGTGTCATTTTTCTCTTCTAAGCTTCTAGAGTTCTATGAAAATAATTGCGATATCTTACTGCCCGAGTGACTGGCAAAGGTCATGAGCTATAAATATCCAACATACACAGTGGAAAAAAAATTGACCGCAGATTGACAATAAGACATGTTTTATCCTCTAATCGCATGTAACACTCAAATCTCACTGGTCTCCACTCCATGATCCTTGCACTTTCACTTGTTATGTTCTCCACTCTCCTCCTACTGCCGCTCAAACTGTTGGCTGCAGCCTACTCATCCTCTGCTGCATCTCCCGCACCAATACTCCATCAATACAGCCATCTTTGGACTGCTGCAGACACGTCACGCTAATGTTTCTGAGAGGGAACATCCTGATTTTACTACTGTTGACAACTATTGGCACCAACCAAACAACAGTGATGTCCTTAATTAACTCTTTTTACGTTAGCCAATAAATCACCCTTCCACGAGTATGTGAGCAGCTTTAAGAGATCAGAATTTCGGAATAAAACAAAAAAAGTAGTGGTACAGGAACTTGGAGTTGAGTTTCATATTAGGAATAGGAATTTATTTACTGACAAAACAGCAAAAATAAAAATACACTGTTAATAACACTGTAAGAGCAAAATGACGAGGCTCACTGCAGCAGTTACAGAGAGAGGAGCGACAATTTTACAATGTAAAGTCAGAAACAGGAAGGAAACAGAGTTGATAGAGTCAGAAGTGCCCCCATGTTCACTTCCTGTTTGTAAAGTGATGGCTAGAAGGTTAGCGATGTCCATTTATATATACAGTCTATGGATATAGGGACAAAAAACAAAACACACACACTCAAAAACACTTTTCTCTTAAAGCCAAGTGATCCAACTTTTTGACCAAAACAAAAGCATGGTTTTTTTCATAATGGATGTTTTTAGTTGCACTGAAAAACACAGAAAAACATGTGTCCTTACCTTGAGGTTTTTTTTTTTTTTTTTTTTTAAATCAAAATAGACTCTTATTTAGCCTGTTTGTTTGTATGAAAAAATTGTTCCCTTGGCTATAATAATTTAGCCTGATTTATCACCCGGTTTCATTTCGTGGAAACCGTCCGACCTCACAGCATTAGAATTAGTTCGCTCAATGGTAGGAGGGTACTTTTTTAAATTAAACCAATCACTGTTATTTGGTCGTGACGTATGTAATGCACCAAATCCTGTAGGAAGATGGGCAATAATGTCTTTCCCCTTGATAAAATTCACCAAACATTCTTTTTGTTAAAGCTTTAAATCCTCGATCTCGGGAAGCGTTGCCAACACAGAATGTATGTCTTCGTTTACATCCAATCTAGACCGCTTTGTTTACTGTTGTGCTGTTCCACAATAGGGACCCAGACAGGTGCTTGAATTTGACGTCATGGCTTCACAGCTTTTCGCAGATTGGCTGGTGCACCATCTACAAATTTCTGGGTTCTTGCAAACCGTCTAAGGTATATCGATTCCTGACCTAATTGCTAGAGAGAAATGAAATTGAGTGGAGGCACTAGCTGGTACCAGTCTGGCTAATAATATTCCACATTATGGCATAATACTTTATCTCTATGTTCTCAAGTATGGAATCCATGCAGTTCACTGCCAAAAAAATTACACACTATACCTTTAACTTTAATGTGAGCATACATTGAATTGAAATTACTTATTTTTGCATCACTATTATTATTTTTTGCCCTTATGCTTAAATTGCAATTCCTGTTATTATTGATTAACCAAAAATCTGATATCTCCATAGTCCATCTAGTATTGATCTTGGATGCTCGTTCTCTCTTGCGTCACTGAACAGCCTCGTACAGTAACAAGTCAAAGCTGTGTTACATATGTTATCTGATGCCTTGTGTTTTTATGTGCACGCCCTTTTATACGAGAGGTCTGGTCTCTGGGGGCGTTAGTCCGGATCGTGCCTACACATCCCTCCTAATAAACAGCCTGCATACGTACTCAAAGCAGTTCTCTTATACATCTTTCTTTATAGGCTTGTGTGGTGACCCTGCTCCGTTTCCCGGGAGACCGCAGACAGGCGTCCCCACAGTGATTGATTCACTCCATGTTGTAATGGTGCTGTAAGTGTACTGTGAACTGTGATGTAGAGAGACAGCCGTGTCACTGTGCACTGCATCATGTGTGTGCCATGTTCAAAATCTCACATCTCAGACTGGGGCCCATACTTCAGATCTGCACCATGTGGAGACTTCTGGATACGCTCTGGCACAACAAGAGTGCAGCTTGTCCATGATCATTATTCACAAGCAAATAAAGCAGAGACAAGAGGACTACCAGACTACGCAGACTTACTTTGGTTTATTCCAGTCAGGAGCAGTATGGGCTGAGACACGAGGATCTGTTGTTTGAAGGGTGCACAAAAGCACACACACACACACGCACACACACACACACACACACACACACACACACACACACACACACACACACACATACACACACAAGCACTGCCATTCAGTGTCGGATTCACTCTTTTGTATTTTTTGCAACAAATTCATCTCAT